TCTGTGTGCCTGATGGTATGAAAGGCGAGGAGGAGCTCGTGAGGGCTCTCAACGAGGGGGAGGACAAGACGGCTACTCAAGAGGGTATTGTGGTCTTGATTGAATTGGTGTTGAAGGCAGTGTTTAGGGGCGGACGATGATGAAGCTGATACGCATAAGAGGGAGCTGGAGGCTCTCAAGGAGACCGATCCAGAATTCTATAAGTGGGCATTCGTCTGAGGCGCTCGAGCTTGGGAATGAACGAACTGCTTGCAGATTCCTTCAAGAGACGGATCAAGACTTGTTGGAGTTTGGCCAGGGTGAAGAAGAGGAGGAGAAGGGCCCTAGAGCGAAGGAGAGGAAGCAACCGCAGGCTAAGGCTGACACTGGGGTAGTAGGGGGCCTTATAGCCGCTCTGGGAACGACTCTTGCAGAAGCTCGTTACCATAGGTGCTTACGATGGAGCGGTTGAATGAGCTGACGGAGGCAGCTGAGGGGAAGAAGGACGGCAATAAGTCCCTGAAGGCCCTCCGAGCAGTCCTCTCAGCCTATCGGGTGGCCAGTCGCATGAGCAGGGGAGAGGCGAAGGAAGGGGCAGAGTCCGAGGAAGGTAGTGTGGCAGGGGTCTGGGGGTATGTGGGCCAGCTTGGGCCCTTAGGAAACGACTCAGCTGCTCCTGGTATTCGCATTGAGGATGCGACAGTGTTTAACGCCGTATTGGAGTGGACTCTGAAAAAAGTAGGAAGGGCAGCTTAGGTGTTCACTGCGAGGAGGTCCGTGGCAGGCCCCGGAGCTCCTGGATTATCATGACAAGCAAGTTGCCAAGACCAAGGGGGCTGCTGCTGCTGCTGCCGGGGGCGGCGGTAAGACGTTTATGCTGGGCCGTTTATTCTGGAGTGAAAGTCTCAACTTATTGCAGCAGCTTACTGACCTCGACACGCAGGAGTTTGTAATACTATGGGGGTCTTAAGGGGGTTTAACGTAGGGTGGCATGGGCAGGTGCTGTGGCAACTGGGTAATGGTAGTGCTTTGAAGTACCTCATGCAGTTGAAGAAGTTGAAGCCGCTAGTAATAAATGAGCTCTGCAGGAAGTGGGCGAAGGGAGGTAAGCCAACAAAGAGGGGAGGGAGTGGGCCAGTTTGGTCTTCCTCAGCTGCCCAGGGCACTAAGTTGGCGGCCTTCTCGGCGCTGTACAATCTGGTGGGGCAAATACTAAAGGGCGGTGTTTCCTCTAAGAAGGGTATTGAAGGGGCTGGGCGGGAGGTTGAGGGCATAATGAGGCGGATGTATAGGGCGTAATGATAGGGGCATGCGAGGGCCTCTCTATAGGTCGCTGCAGATATGTCGTATCG